CAGCCAATCGCCAGCCCGCATCCTCCTCATCCATTTCCACGTACAGTTGACAGTCAGACATCGAAGAACAACTGTCCGCACATTAGGGTCCCATTAGGGCTGACTGATAAAAATGATGAATATGTCTAATCCAAACCCATCATTAATATATCCTGATCATGTGTTGCAGGGTCTCCGTGTGAATTATGGGAAAATCTTTTCCATTTGCAAACAAGCAACTAACTGTGCAACGCTTGTCCCACAGCCACTTTAAAACTATTAACAGCTATTTATAAAGCCGGGATCGTGTGACACGAGGATTCGGTTTCTGCCCCCTTGGAGTTAAAAGCATGTGAGTGTGTGTGCGAGCTCAGGTGAGATGGCAGGAGCCTGCATGCCACGTATTCTCCTGTGAGATACAACTCAGATACCGCTGAGCTGATTGTTTAGTTGTGTGTGTGTGTGTGTGTGTGTGTGTGTGTGTGTGTGTGTGTGTGTGTGTGTGTGTGTGTGTGTGTGTGTGTGTGTGTGTGTGTGTGTGTGTGTGTGTGTGTGTGTGTGTGTGTGTGTGTTTTGAAGGCATTCTGGGTAGGTGGGGGTGGGACGGCGACCCAGTGGCCTCTCCTGGAGTCTGTAGGGAAAATGACGCATCGAGGTCAGAGCTGGAGAGGGTTGTGGGGGTATGAGCACAGGCCGGGGGCACAAATTCAAGTGTAAGGTTTCCAAACCTCTGCAGTGAAATACATCGGAATGAGCTCTGGCCTAATTATAGTGGATTTTTTTATTTTTTTGGGGGGGGGGAATGGGATCGTTTGGCTGAGCGTATAGAAGTCACAAAATGTGGGGGTAAAAGTGGGTGAATGTCACAGCGTGGGGCGGACACAATGCCATGCCAGCACACCAAAGGAAGAGAGTTCTTTCATGTCAAATCAGTTTAATGTGGAGCTAAACAGATGACAGACCGCACGCATGTGAGGAAGACAGATCACAGTGGTTCTTTACAAAAAGCAGACAGATAGGATGAGATAGGTCTGATAAACATGAAGTCAAATACATTTATAAATACACGTGGCAAAAAGAGTCCCTGGTTACTACAAACAATAGCAAACACAAGCGTTTTATATACATCGCTGAGCTTATGAAGTGTGTTGGTGCGTTCAGCTGCATGTTGGTGTTTTCCCAGCTGATTTCCTTTATTCCTCTGCACCCGGAGGTTTGATGTAAAACTAGAACGAACAGAAACTAACTCTAATGTTCTGGGTGAGTCTAATGTAATCCGTTAATGTAATCTGTTACTGCGTTCTGGCAGAATATTTCTAACTGGAAACACGAAATGAAAAGTGTAATACGTAAAAAAAATTATAAATATCATTTCTGCATTTTGAGCTAAAAATTGAGTTCTGTCAGCAGATGATGTTCAGAGATGAACGGCTGATTTTACTTCACAAAAGCCTCCAGCAGCTGTGCTGTTTGGGAAGGGCAAAAGAGAAAGCGTGTTGACCGTCTGGTGTGATTGATCAGCTTCACACAGATGAACACCTCACTAGTCACGACGACGTGTCGGCCAGAACATAGACGGTCTTTTAGGGTTTAGAATTGCAATACAACGGGCTTCCAGTGACATGGGACAGAATGTTGGGCCCTCGATGCTCCGATCCAGAGCTAAGACTCATGTCTGACGACTGCATCCAAGTCAAATCTTACGTCATTTAGGGGAAAAGTGCAAGTCTCTTGGGGGCAAGTCCAAGTCGAGTTTTGATTGTTAAATGAAAGCCAAGTCACGAGTCTTTAAAGAGCTGGTCCAAATGAAACCTCAAGTCTTTGAAAACCAAGTCAAAATAAAATCCTAATTCATGAAGGGCCAAGTCTAGGTCAAGTCAAAAGTCAAGTCCAAAGCCTTTGATGGCAAAATTCAAATTAAACCTCTATGGAGCAAGTCTCAAGTCTTTAAGGGCCATGTCGATGTCAAGTCTCAAGTCTTTAAGGGCCATGTCTACGTCAAGTCTCAAGTCTTTAAGGGACACGTCTATGTCAAGTCTCAAATCTTTAAGAGACATGTCTATGTCAAGTTTCAAGTCTTTAAGGGACATGTCTATGTCAAGTCTCAAGTCTTTAAGAGACACGTCTATGTCAAGTCTCAAATCTTTAAGAGACATGTCTATGTCAAGTTTCAAGTCTTTAAGGGCCATGTCAATGTCAAATCTCAAGTCTTTAAGGACCATGTTAATGTCAAGTCTCAAGTCTTTAAGGGGCACGTCGATGTCAAGTCTCAAGTCTTTAAGGGACAGGTATACGTCAAGTCTCAAGTCTTTAAGGGACACGTCGATGTCAAGTCTCAAGTCTTTAAGGGGCACGTCAATGTCAAGTCTCAAGTCTTTAAGAGGCACGTCAACGTCAAGTCTCAAATCTTTAAGGGACATGTCTATGTCAGGTCTCAAGTCTTTAAGGGACAGGTCTATGTCAAGTCTCAACTCTTTATGGGCCACATCAATGTAAAGTCACAAGTTTTTAAGGGACACGTCTATGTCAAGTCTCAAGTCTTTAAGGGGCAGGTATATGTCAAGTCTCAAGTCTTTAAGGGTCACTTCTATGTCAAGGCTCAAGTCTTTAAGGGGCACGTCAATGTCAAGTCTCAAGTCTTTAAGGGGCAGCCAATGTCAAGTCTCAAGTCTTTAAGGGACAGGTATATGTCAAGTCTCAAGTCTTTAAGGGACACGTCGATGTCAAGTCTCAAGTCTTTAAGGGTCACTTCTATGTCAAGTCCAAGTCTTTAAGAGACACGTCTATGTCAAGTCTCAAATCTTTAAGAGACATGTCTATGTCAAGTCTCAAGTCTTTAAGGGCCATGTCAATGTCAAATCTCAAGTCTTTAAGGACCATGTTAATGTCAAGTCTCAAGTCTTTAAGGGGCACGTCGATGTCAAGTCTCAAGTCTTTAAGGGACAGGTATACGTCAAGTCTCAAGTCTTTAAGGGACACGTCGATGTCAAGTCTCAAGTCTTTAAGGGGCACGTCAATGTCAAGTCTCAAGTCTTTAAGAGGCACGTCAACGTCAAGTCTCAAATCTTTAAGGGACATGTCTATGTCAGGTCTCAAGTCTTTAAGGGACAGGTCTATGTCAAGTCTCAACTCTTTATGGGCCACATCAATGTAAAGTCACAAGTTTTTAAGGGACACGTCTATGTCAAGTCTCAAGTCTTTAAGGGGCAGGTATATGTCAAGTCTCAAGTCTTTAAGGGTCACTTCTATGTCAAGGCTCAAGTCTTTAAGGGGCACGTCAATGTCAAGTCTCAAGTCTTTAAGGGGCAGCCAATGTCAAGTCTCAAGTCTTTAAGGGACAGGTATATGTCAAGTCCAAGTCTTTAAGGGACAGGTATATGTCAAGTCCAAGTCTTTAAGGGACACGTCGATGTCAAGTCTCAAGTCTTTAAGGGTCACTTCTATGTCAAGTCCAAGTCTTTAAGGGACACGTCGATGTCAAGTCTCAAGTCTTTAAGGGGCAGCCAATGTCAAGTCTCAAGTCTTTAAGGGACAGGTATATGTCAAGTCTCAAGTCTTTAAGGGACACATCGATGTCAAGTCTCAAGTCTTTAAGGGTCACTTCTATGTCAAGTCTCAATTCTTTAAGGGACACTTCAGTGTCAAGTCACAAGTCTTTAAGGGACACGCCGATGTCAAGTCTCAAGTCTTTAAGGGACAAGTCAATTGAAACCACAAAGTTAAAGCCAGAACAAACAACTGTCCCCTGAGTGGCTGGTTCCAGTAAACCAGCTCAGTGGTCCAGTGGTAGAGTGTCCACCCTGAGACTGGGAGATCAGGGTTCAAATCCCGGTTGGGTTGTACCAAAGGGTTAGATTAAAGGGTTAATCCACCTAATAGTCCCTGAGCGCAGCCGCAGGTCACCACTGCCCACGGGGACGGGTCAAACGTGGAGATGAATGTCACCAGAGTGTGACCAGTAGAGTGAGGCCTTAATCCAGTGAGCAGATGGACTCAGACACGGTTAGCAAAAGGTCTGAGGATGGGTCATTCATGTCTTATACTTTTAAAAGTTAAATTAGGGTTACAGTTTAAATATATATAAATAGATGCATATTTGATCTTATACAAAGTGCTTCGCCCTATCTCGTAGACTCTTCTTCTGTCAAAAGTTACATGAAAGAATAACAACGTTGTCTTATGATTAAACATATTATTTCTGCAACAGAGATCAGAAGGTACAAGCTCGTATCATCCAGGGGTTTTGATGCCTGTTTGTCTTTTAGCACCATTATTCAACACAGCCAAGATGTGATGGAGAGCTGTGGCGTAGCACTGGTAGCTAAACACGATTTAAATGTGTTATTGTTTAAAAAACATCCAGACATCCTAACAAACCAACAGATGTCCAGAGCGGGGACAAGGACAAATCCAACAGGACGTGATTAAATCACCGTACGTGTGTTTACAGGCTTCATCCACAACAGGGCTAATTTAACCCTCCCACTGTCTTCGTGGGTGACCCCGCCAGGAAAGTTGACCCTTGAGCAGGGTTGATGGTTTATCCCTTGAGGTCCACATGGCAGGGGTGAGGTGGTGCTCACTCCTCAGCCCTGCCACGTGGACCTCAAGGGATAAACCATCAACCCTGCTCAAGGGTCAACTTTCCTGGCGGGGTCACCCACGAAGACAGTGGGAGGGTTAGAGTGTTGATGAATGTATTCAATGTCAATAAAAGGAGCAGAATGCAGAAAAAGGACCAACTCACAAATATCAACACGCAGACTCATTAGTGTTGCTCTCGTCACTCACGGCCTAAACACGCCTCCATTCTACCTCTAAACTTTGAAGCTGTTGTGGTAAAATCCAGCCGAAGTCCGGGGAAACCGGATCGGACAAGTTTATATTGCTTTAACCGTTTATTTAAATGTTGCAGATGTTATTTAGTTGTTCAATTCCAATGTTTAAACTGTGTGTTTCTGCTTTTGTGTTGCTGATTTGCAAAGAATTTCACATCAAAGCAACAAAAAAAAAAGAATTAGTGAATTTTTTAAAAATATATTTGCAGTTGTATAGCTGCTGGTCTTCAAACAAGCCCATTCATGCCAAAATGTAACAGCTTTTATCTCAAAATAGTCATCATTAGCTCTGTTTTCCATCTATTTCTGCTAAAACTAAAGCAAGTTGTGGTGAGTTCAACTTCCTGATGCCTTGTTGTGTTCGGTATGTGTTGGTGGCTCCTCCTCATTAGCATAATTAAGACCTAGTGTGACTTTTCATAGCAAATGACCTGCCAAGAGCAAGCTCAAAGTCACAGCTGTGAGAAATGTGCTTACACTTGCTCTCAAACCTTAAGAAGACTGTACACGTGTGTCAGTTTTCAAAGGCTAGGTGGTGCTATTCTTGTGTGGGAAGCATCTCTGCCAGGGGCTGAAAGGAAGAGCGAGGACGATGAAAAGGAAGCCTCCGAAAATGAGGATGGCTCCTGCCGAGCCGACGCAGGCTACAGACCAGGACAGCTCGTGGTGCAGAGGTATGGAGTGGTCGCTGGACAGCAGTGCCAGCACAGACTGGTGGAAAATCAGCACAGACAGCAGGACCAGAACACCTGTACAGGTACATAACGGAAGGGGAATTGGCTTATAGGCTTTGCTCTCAAAAGCCCCACTGTGTTAACTCATTCACTGCCAATGACGACTAAAGTCGTCGTTCGCATTTTTTTTTACTGTTTGAGCATCGGAACGAGCCCCCGCGCTGAGAGAACAAACATTTAAGCCCTGAAGCCGATCTTCATCCGCATACGTCACAGATCACATGATCAGGAAGCAGAACATCCATGTGTTAGGAGATCGTTTTGGGCCGTTCCTGTAAAAAAAGTGAGGCGCGAACCGGAAAAGCGTCTGCCGATCACAATTCGACAACGGATTATGAAAGAACGGACAACGCTCGAAACACGCGGCTTCTTCTTGATGTAAGAGGTGAGTCTCCTCTTTGTTTTGGTTGTTTTGGCATCGACATCATGCTAGCGCGCAACGTTCTGTGACTCTTAAAAAAACAGTAAAAACGGTGAGAAACGCTGGCAGCGAAGGCCGTTAGCGATCAGGAAACGACTGGCAGTGAATGAGTTAAAGAGCAAGTCACTCCAAATCAACATTTTTTTTTGCTTATAAACTATATAAATGAGTATCTGATGGTGCTGTAGACAAGTGCAGTCAATAATTCGGCATTTTAGTTCATCTTAGTTAAAATTTAAATATTCTGCCTAAAACTGTCAGCGATGCACCGTCGTCGTCAGGTAAAAACTCAGCACTGCATTTGACTTTAAATCTGCCATCGCTATTGGCTAAAATGTACACTATGATGTTAGATGGTACATTATGATGTCACAATGTCGTGAGTGTGTGTATTTGTTAGTGGCTCCACCCTCTCGGTCTGCTAGGCAACAGCATTTGTTGCATTTTTCAAACAGGAAGTGGGAGTTGAGTAAGAATCTGGTAGGGGGTGACTTGCTCTTCAAGGTCAGTATCCCTGAAAGTGTTTGAGACAAATGTGCAAATGTTCACTTAGACGTGCACTTATGACCCTTTGTGGAAGGTTTTCATGTATGGCCAGGTCACATGGAGCAAAGGGCATAATTGCAAACACACTTCCACAGCCATCCTGCGGATTTTCTTGTTGCGGTTTAATCACAAATTATCTTCATTGTGTCTCAAATTTGTTTGCAAATCATCTTCATTTTGCTCACTGGATCCTCTCAGAGTTTCCTCACACTTTCTGACCCAGAAACTAAACTGAGAAGGTTTCAAAACACGTTCCAATTCATTTCATTTGTATTTTATTCTATTTTTAAATGCTAACGACACAACCGTGAGAGCCTGCCATTCATGTAAGGAGATTACAAACGTGGTCCGTAGCGTGACCTCGTGGAGGAGAGAAGAAGGAAATTTGAAATTTTAGCTCCCGCTCCTGCTCCCCTTCCCCATCAAGAAGGAGACGAAAGGCACTCCTCATGCCCGACGGGCACACAAATAGCCTTGTAGCGCTAAAGGACAAGTAATGTTTTGGATATATCCCTGCTCAGACACATCTCTTCAGCCTTTTTCAGGTTCAGCAGGATCTGCTAATCACTCATTTTAATCAAATCTGCAGTGTTCGAGCAGGGAAGCGTCTAAAAACAGCAGGAATCCAAGACTTGTGATGCTAGCACGCCCCTGCTAACGGTACAACAGGCTAAAACAATAGTCTGATGTGACTAAAGGATGAACGCTACGCTAATCACTTAGCTCCAACACAGAAAGATGAATCCCTTTTCATTCCCCTCCCTCCTCTTCCACAGTTAGCTTGAACAGAGCGGCGTTATTCAATGCAGGTCCAGCATTCAAGCTAGTGCCCTATTACCCGAACAGTTACTTATTTTATATAAGTAACATTTCCTGTCCAAAACTTTTCATGATCGTGAAGCTCCCTTCCTCTTTAAAAGCGTCTCTAATGGAAGCTTTACTCGACCGTCGTAAATGTCTCACGACAAATTCGGCGTAAGGATTTTTAAACTGGTTACGTTTCTTTGAGGAGAAGAAGGCAGTCGAGGAATCGGTAACTTTGGGGCTTGTTTTGGTTACTTCTTGCTAACCTCCGGCTTCTTGTTTGTTTTCTTAAGCTGACGGGCGCATTCTCGTTGATTGACAGCTCCCTCATGTGGGCACACAGCTCTAGTGGTTAACCCTTTAGGCTCAAGTAAAGTATTTGTTTAGTTGTAGAGGTCGGGGGAGGGGCTTAGCGGAAATATAAATCGTGAAGGATCATCTGTGTCATAAACATTTTTGAGTATTTAAACAATGTCCTTTAAGACATTCTTAATCCTTTTTGAGACGGGGCAGCAGTAGCTTAGGAGGTGGAGCGGGTTGTTGATCGAAGGGTTGTGGGATTGATCCCAGCTCTGCCGGGGACTCTGCTGACTTTCTGTGTGGGCGGTGGTCAGAGGGACCGAGGGCGCGAATGGCAGCCCCGCCCCTGTGGCTACGTAGTAGCTTACCATCACTTGCAGTGTGTGAACAATGGAAAGTGCATTGAGTGTCTAGAAAAGTGTAGTAAATCTAATCCATTATTATTATTATGTTTAAAACTGGGGATGCACCTATACCACTGTTTTTCCAAACCGATACTTGGATCTGAGTACTCGCCGATACCGATTACCGATAACGATACTTCTACCACACAAAATAATGTAATGAATTGGAATACAAGTTTTATTTTCTTCTCTTCTTTTAACAGGAAAAGACTGTGAGGTAGATAAAAAACAAAATATATAAATAGAAATGATCACAAAACTAAAATATTAGGTGAACAGAAATGTCAGGTTATAGTGAAGCCACTTTCAGGCAACTGCATTGGTATCCTGGTTCCTGCTATCAGTTAACTTTATCTGATACCGATACTGGTATCGGTTAACTTTTACTGATACCAATACTGCTATCGGTTAACCTTTACTGATACCAATACTGCTATCGGTTAAACTTTACTGATACCAATACTAGTATTGGTGAACTTTTACTGATACCAATACTGCTTTCGGTTAACCTTTACTGATACTGATACTGGTTTTGGTTAACTTTTACTGATACCGATACTGGTATCGGTTAACTTTTACTGATACCAATACTGGTATTGGTTAACTTTTACTGACACCGATGCTGCTATGGGTTAACTTTTACTGACACCGATGCTGCTATCGGTTAACTTTTACTGATACCGATGCTGGTATTGGTTAACTTTTACTGATACCGATACTGCTATTGGTTAACTTTTACTGATATCGATACTGCTATTGGTTAACTTTTACTGATATCGATACTGCTATTGGTTAACTTTTACTGATATCGATACTGCTATTGGTTAACTTTTACTGATATCGATACTGGTATCGGTTAACTTTTACTGATACAATACTACTGCCGGTTAACTTTTACTGATACCGATACTGGTATCGGTTAACTTTTATCCTCTATTTAAAACCCTTTCCTAAATGCTGTCCGCAATTGGAGCCAGCAGTCTCGGCCCAGTGAGTCACCAGCTACAGGAATGTAAAAGAGGAAAAGAGTTGTGGTTGAGAGAATGGAATCTCACCTGAGAGAATGAAACAGAAGGAGGCTGGTTTGAGAAAGAAGAGCACTCCTTTGCTGAGTGACATGGCGATACAGATGGAGCCCATCACCATCATGGTGAGACTCAGAAGGGCCAAGACAGCTGCTGCCAGGTTCAAATCTGTGAAGCAGAGCAGAGTGGCTGAGGATGCTTTGTGCTGAGATTTCACACAATTCATGTTAGCGAATAAAGGAGATTTCAGTTGCCTCTTTTCACACGGGCTCTGCTAAAAACAGAGTTTGTTGGCAATCCAAAGTGCGAACAGGTGCAACCTGATAACCCGACCGGTTTCTCTGCATCCAGAGCCAGGGCATGATTTTTTTTTTTACCTGATACCATAAATGGTAATTGGGAAAGATGCCAAAAAGCAGATGAGATAAAAACATAAGCAGTATTAAGATGTGCCTGATTGTTTATGTCCATATTTAGTTTGATGGCAGATTGCACTTATATGTTCAGACGAACTGTAATTGTCTGTAAACATGCTGAGAGAACTGAATCTAAACCCTTTTGTAGGAGATCTTCTGTCTGATCTAGATGCTCTATGCAACCCTAAACTCTTTAGTTTTATTCTTTTGGCAGGGATTTCATTACTGACAGGATCTCAGTCTATTTGACGTGCATTTCCCAAAGTCTATGTAACACGCAAAGTCTCAAAATATAGTCCCAGAAGCCTTCATTCGTTTGTTTGTTCATTCACAAAGTGCTGTCATGCTGCTAAACAAGGTAGCCCAAAGCGCTATACAACAAAAATGTAAGGGCGCCCCCAATGGGTGGCCAGGGGTGGCCATGGCCACCCATAGAAAATGTCTGCCCCCCCCCCCCCTTCCCAGGAAAAGCCAGTGTTAACAAATCATATTAATGTTCAGTCAAACCGCATATTGTTGTATATTCAAGACATAAGTGTAAAACAAAATAAAATATTACAATTAATGCACAAAGAAATAATCAGTTTAAAAAAATACACGTTTCTGCTGCTCACCATTTTAAAAAGTTTTATCTCCATAGCTATTGTAACACAGCAACAGGTGAATTATCCTAAAAAGTGAAATTTTTTTATTCAGTTTGGGGTAACATTTTAAATAACTGACATGTATTTTTCTAAAATGTTTGTGCTTGTAAAATGTAAGTGTTTAGAATAACTGTTATTTTAATAAAAACAAATAAAGGTGCAAAGCAGCACATCGCCACAGACTACATTCAACCAGAGTTACCACAAGGACCAATTTGCTGTGCCACCCCAATAATTTCTTTGGCCCCATCTGGCCACCCCTATCAAAATTTTCTGGAGGCGCCCCTGCAAAAATGAGAGAATGAACATGAAAATAAAATGAAATACAATAAAAGCATCACATTCAACAGGATCAAAGCTCATTTAAAACACAACTGAAAGTGATCAAATGCAACTAAAACAAGGATCTGCTAACAAACTAAATCCTTCTCATTTTAGAGGTCATCTACAATGGTGACGGTTAGATCTCCAGCCAAAAAGCAGTCGGCCCCAGCCTGGCCCGGTTGATTCCACACATCCTTGCCTTAAGCCCATGTGAGCTGATTCTACCCACCAATCAGAGGCTTGCTCTAATGGAAGGTGTGAATTTGCTGTCAGCAGTGGGTGTGTTGGCCCTGGTCGGCCTGAAGCAGACCCCCTCGAGAAGAGGGCTGAGAATGAGCCTTGGTTGGCCCGGAAAAATACCAGGCCACCCAGATATGTAAACAAACTACGCTACCCGGCCCGGGCCGACCCGGTACAGATGGGAATGGCCCATAAGATCTACGCCCGGGCCGTCCCTGCAGAACTCATGGTGCCATCCAGCCATGCTGCTATTTCCTGCTAGAAACATGAAACCTAAAGGTTTTTAAACTGTTTTTACATAAACTACAATAAAATTTTCAATGTTAGCATTGACGTAGTACCAACTAACCCCACCCCCACCCCACTATACCAGCTGCCAGTTTACCTTCCTGGTCCAAACTAATAACTTTTTCCACAAGCTGAGGTTGTTCAAAGCGCTTTCTTCGTGTAAGGCGACTGATCTCAACGCCTGACCTACAGATGGCCAATGTTCAGTCAGATGTAAGTCTCCAACAGCTAAAGGAAACATGTGTGTCGCCGAGCAGCTCGGAAGCACATTCATCAGCCTGAGAGCTCACGGGCGGAAACGGGTTAATGAGCTAGCACTGTGTGTGTGTGTGTGTGTGTGTGTGTGTGTGTGTGTGTGTGTGTGTGTGTGTGTGTGTGTGTGTGTGTGTGTGTGTGTGTGTGTACAGGAAGGGGGTAAATGAAACATCTCACTCCTGTTGGTCGTCTTCTTGAATATGACAGCGTTCTCCCCAGAGGTGAAGAATTTGAAGTAGGTGCAGTTGGATTCTGTGGGTACAGAGGAGAAGATAAGACAAAGACACACACACACACACACACACACACACACATGCATTCCTATGGACGTCTGCTGGTCTCCTCTGATGTGTCGACTATACGCATCCGTGCACTCTGCCCTTCCAGGCATCATTCCTATTTATATCCACGAGTCGAGCATTAGCTTGAACACACATGCACCTCTCCACAAACACATACACACACAGTACACAGCACTGCACATATGGTGCCGCCAGAGAAAGTGAGAGACGGCAAAACACTAAGGATAAATGGCAGAGGGGGAGAAAGAAAGGAAGGACGGAAGGAAGGCAGAGAGACGGGCGCGTGTGGATTATGATGCGGGGATGTAGCTGTGAAACTAAAGAAGAAGGGATCAAAGGATGAGATATGAGGGGAGGGTTGCAGGCAGACGGAGAGGTGGTGAGCGAAGGGAGAACGAGAGGAGAGCCACAGATGGAGAAGGAGGTGAGAGGAGCAAGAGGAGTCAGGAGGGAGAGGATTGGTTAATACTGCATCAGACATCCTCTCTCCCTCCGTCACTCTGTCCCTCTGCCTCTCTATATTTAGACGAAAACGGTGAACTAGTCACATTCCACTTGGCTTCACAGATGCATGGTGATGATTTTTAACCCCGTAAGATCAAGATGACCACATCCACACACTCAGTAACACCTGAGCACATCCACCATTTATCACCCTGTTGACTGTGTAATGCCCCCCCGCTGCCCCCCGCTCTTTCCAAGCCCCTGCTGAGACTATAATTATTGAGCCGTCACGCTCCTCTCCAGTGGGCAGCGGAAGATGGATCGCCGGTCCTGAGCTGACAGACACGGCTCGGGACGGCAGCCAGAGGCGTGTAAACACTGATGTGAAGGGGAGAAGCAGGGGACGGCAAAAACAGTTGTTTTTCTGCAAATATGATGAGCCCACAGCCATCTGTGGTGGGACGTGCAATAGGGAGAATCTCAGCATACTGGCTCCTCTTGCACAACAACAGACATTCTTGGAGGCAAACATGCTCGCCAGAAGCAGCCGGAGGTGCAGAGTGGCTGATACATTATAGGGATGCACCGATACGATACTGGTATCGGCACCGATACCAGTATCGTATCGGTAACAGTTAACCGATACCTGGAACCGATACCAATGCAGTTGCTTGAGAATGGCTTCACTGTAACTTGTCATTTCTGTTATCCTAATATTTTAGTTTTGTGATGATTTCCATTCATATATTTTACTTTTTATCTACCTCACAGTCTTTTCCTGTTGAAAGCAGAGAAGAAAATAAAACCTGCATTCCAAATCATTGCATTTTTTGGTGTGGTAAAAGTTTAGGTATCGGTAATCGGTATCGGCGAGTACTCAGATCCAAGTATCGGTATTGTATCGGTTTGGAAAAAAGTGGTATCGTTGCATCCCTATTACATTAGTCGGCTAAAGGCATGTAGGTTTCCTGGAGAGCATCTCATCCATCGCCTTTCGTGTTAGCTTTAAGTTCACGTTATGTTGAAGCTTGAGTTTTAGCTGCAATTATAGCAATTATACTCAAACTCCTGCAAATTCCCACAGTTAAGGTCGTGCACAATGTGCAGCATTTGAAGCGCATGTTGTGGAAGAGTCACGACAGCTGCGGCGCAAAGTTTTAGACCCCATTTGGTACCTGACGGTTATTACTTATGGTTATATCTTCATCTCATTATTCAAATTGAGTCCAAACATGAAACAGTTTAATTTGAAATCCAGACTTTCTGAAAATTTCGTTAAAACTCTACAGAAAAAAGAAAAGCACAGGCACAGACACACAAATATGTTACATAAAATTTAAACTAAATGGCGATTAAAGCTGGAAACCAAAATGATACGTGCGAGGAACCTTTCTGGATTCGGAGATTCCAGGAAGTCTCTTCCATCTCCAGACTTCCTTTTTAGACAGAAATGGGCCATCGTGTAGATAATCGTCGCCCTCTGGAGAACCCAGGAGCGGTCAAGTTGAATAAAATGCTCTCAGAAAAGAGCCGTCACCACAAGAAACACGGGTGTCCATCAAAACTTTAGAACCAGCCGTCTTTAGCACACTCGTTTACTGGAATTACAACTAAAGATCATGGATTTTGAAGACAAAACCTCATTTTTGTTTAAGGGCACTGTTTTTCTTTTACGATTCAGTCTGCACATTTTCTGTATGATGACCTGATGCGTGCGTTTATTATTATGATGCAAGTTTGCAGCAAATGTAAGTTCCCTCAAAATCTAAAGAAATGTTATGACTGGATGCATGGACGTAATTTTCACTTTAGAAGTGGGGGGGGGGGACACGGGGGGGGGGTATCTTTACAGTATGCTCTAATGGGAAACAGGCTTCAACACAAACGGTTGTTTTCCGCTTGGTCCTAGAGCTCAACCAGTGTCACTTTAATATAGTGTAATATTGTTGTTGGATGGTAAAAAGTGCAGGGGTCAAAACTTGACTTTGGAAAAGTGGGGGGGGGACATGTCCCCCCTGTCCCCCCCCAAAATTACGTCCATGACTGGATGAAAATAAATAGAAAGAAAAGTCTGCTTTAGTCTGCTGCCAGCCTCGTCCCAGAGGTCACGCTTCATCTTGGTTATGATTACCGCCTCTGCTTCACTAAATCGCCCTGCAAACCCGTCTCTTAATGATCCGCTACAGATTGATGAGCACGCCTCGAGGCAGAGACCTGGAAGGTGAGGAAGCTCAGACATGAAGCAGACAGAGAAAAGAGGACACACACACACACACACGTGGGTCTCACCTCCAGGAAGTTCAGCAGGGCCGCAGCTCGTCCTCTCGGGGTCGATGTCGGCCACCCACAGGGTGCGGACGCAGCCCTTCCACAGCCCATAATGAGCCATCTGGCAGGTCTGATTGCCACTGAAATCCTTCGGCTGGGCCAGCTCCACCCAAAACTCTGTCCCCATGCCCAACACCGTCAGGGTCACCCCAACAATAGCCACGAAGAAGGCCAGCTTGATCTTACCCTCCTGGCTGTCACTCATCTTGTTGGTCCGCCTTTGTCCTCTTAAACCTTTCATTCCAGCCAAACCCCCACCCTGTCCGGCTCCCACCACCCCCATTCGGCCATCTTCTTCCTGCTGCACGAAGAGGTTGGACCACATACTGACGGTGCCTCGGACGGTCAAGCACTGGGACACTTAGGTAAATGAAGATTAAAAGCAAACGGGGTAAAGAGAGAGCAAGGAGGCACTATAAAAAAAATAAAACAAAAGAAATCTGAGACACAGTTGTGGTTCTCTGAGCGAGAAAACTGAGAAAAAGCTGTGAGAAATGTTGTAAAAACAAGTGGGCTGGACGCTGAAATTAGACAAAAAGGTGCTATGAATAGATCCGCAGTGATGTAGGTGGGCGGATGAGGTTCGATAACGGGATGGGATGAGACGGAGGAGAGGACCAGGAGAGCCAGCCTGTTTTCTGTCCAATCTTCTGAAACAGAGAGATGAAACAGAAAGATGAAAGAGCAGACAGCATATGCTCCACCAGAACTAAATCCTTTCATCACCAGCTTAATATCTCATTTCCACCGGTTTTATCAGCTTCCACCGTTTTCCCTCCCTGACACGCCAACAACAGATAAGCCATATGGCGTTCCTGTCAGAGGCAGGTTCTGCTACAGATGGAGAAACAATTGGTTGAGATGTTTTTCTGCGGTAGAGCGGGTTTGTGGAGCGTCGAGGTAAGCGACGGATCGGACCACCCGTCTTTTGTTTCCCAGCAGAGCCGACTCACAACCGAGCAGCTCTGACACAGACTCTGAGGGGATAACGAGGTTTCTACCAATACATCCCATAATGCATTCTGTAAATCTATGGTCAGTCTGATACATGAAGTCGCTCAAGGTGCAGTTTGTAAGAACGACATCCTGTGGTCCAATGTGGGTACTGCAGTACATTTTTACGCAAAAGTATTACTTTCTCACTCCCGTTTAGTGAGTTTCATGGTTGTTGCCAGTTAGGACCGCACAATATATCGTTATCGCGATACCAGCATGAACAATACGCATATCGCAAATAACAGATAAATGTTGCAACGAATGGTCAGCTCAGATGTTTGCTTCACAAAACGCATTCTGTCAGTCAAACGGAAGCATGATGTTTTTTAACAAATCAAATACAGCTCTTCACCCATTTGGCCAATCGGGTGGGTTCTCATAGGTTAGATGCCCGCCCCCGAGGCGGACGGCACTTAATTTGGATGGTTAGCTAACACCTGAGGTAGCTTTGTTCTGCTCTTTCTGCTGATTCTGCTTTTCTCGGGATCCACTGATTGCCTTTTCTTGTTCATTTTTATGATTTTTATGCCATTTTTTTCATTTCTTTGTTTTTGATGATTTTAGTTCCTGAGTTGAGTTTTTATTTATCGCAAGTAATATCGTCATCGCAATATCAGTCACTGTTATCGCATATCGCAGGTTTTCCTAATATCGTGCAGCCCTATTGCCAGTTATGCTTCAGCACCAGAAGATTCTAGATGACAAGCAAAGACGAGTCAAACACAGTAAAGAGGTAAATTTATTGTCAACTCTGGTGTTAGCACTCTTTGGTGTTTTACGGTAGGGGGGATTTACTATACTTATTACGGTAATATGCCTCCAGCATCAGAGGAAATGTTATAGTTCTGAACGACTCATTAAAGGAAGAAAAACATCAGTTTGACTGATTACTCTCTTCACACACACATTTCACTGTTAATTGCATGTTGGTAGTAGAAAAAGGAGCTTGAGATATGTTTAGAGCTGTTAGCATTGTTAGCTCAATGTTAGCCTCTGGCCTTCCTGGCACAATATTAAAGTAAAACAAAAAGATGTTGTGGCTTCTTAGAGGTAAAAGAAATAACTTCTGGGTCTCTCCTATTTACTGGCTTTGTTTCTTTTAAACAACTTTGGAGTTTTTCATCCGTTGGTGTTGAAATAAAAATGCCTTCACTGCAACTTTGGCTCGCTGCAGATTTGGCAACCTCACTAACTCACAGAACGTTAACAGTAACTACAACCCACTTTCGTTTTGTCTCGCCTCGTCTCGTCGCCTTCCGCCTATCCGGGTCCGGGTCGCGGGGGCAGCATCCCAACTAGGGAGCTCCAGACCGTCCTCTCCCCGGCCACCTCCACCAGCTCCTCCGGCAGGACCCCAAGGCTGGAGATGTACTTTCTCCGTGTCCTGGGTCGACCAGGGGGCCTCCTGCCAGCAGCACATGTCTGAAACACCTCCCTGGGGAGGCGTCCAGGAAGCATCCTAGTAAGATGCCCAAACCACCTCAACTGACTCCTCTCGATATGGAGGAGCAGCGGCTCTACTCCGAGTCTCTCCCGAATGTCCGAGCTCCTCAGCCTATCTCTAAGACTGAGCCCAGCCACCCATTGGAGAAAACCGATTGTAGCCGCTTGTATATATACAGACTCTGAGGGGATAAACTCTGTCCCCATGCCCAACACCGTCAGGGTCACCCCAACAATAGCCACAAAGAAGGCCAGCTTGTTCTTTCGGTCATTACCCAAGGTAAATCGAGAGCTTTGCTTTCCGGCTCAGCTCCTTCTTTACCACAACAGACTGGTTCAGCGTCCGCATCACTGCAGACGCTACCCCAATCCGCCTGTCGTTTGTTCCCACTTTCGTTTTTTCAAAAGAGGAAGAACTGGCAACCCCCTGCAGGCTGAGAATGAAATATGTTTCAGTTTAACCTTCCTTCCAACATGACTGAGACTTTAAAGACATAATGTTTGGTTTTCATTGTTAATCTCTAGAAAAATCCATCGAAATGATGTTGGGTCTAAAGCACATGGGAGCGGGTCCAAGTGTCTGGGAGATGCCGTGTTTCCTTCTACAGGAGCCCATGAGGACAAAATGCAGTTACTAATTTGTAACAAGCGGTTACAAAACCTTCTCCATTCATAAACATTGTTGTTTTACCGATTTACCTCTTCACTCATTGCCAGTGATGAAAAGGAGTCTGATGTGATTGTAAATTTGCTGCAGGTTGTGCTCCCAGGGACTTTTGACCCTAATGACCATCCGTCGGTAAGGTCTTACTCAAAAACAAAAATATCACTTGCTTGAAAGGGTTCATGTATGTACTGCCCCCTATCACTGGGGAAAATACACAATGTCTCTTTAAGAACTGTGATTATTTCACTATAGAATTCTTACAAATTGCACCTTTAAATTCAGCTCTTCCAAAATATGGTTTTGGAGCAGCTTGCAATACGGAAAGTGGCAGGAGCCAGTTGTTTCACCAACACGCACCGGGGTGGTGCTGGAGGTGATAATTGAAGTCTGAACCTTCAGATGGAGGGGGGTAGTAATTAATGCTGTGAAGCCCAACAGGTCTCCAAGTGAATGAATTCGGGGGGTGGAGGGGGGCAGGTCAGCTTAGAAAGTGGCTCCACGAGGCTGCACACGGTTGTTGGATCACTTAATTCAGAGCTTTGCACTGACACCATCAGAGGTTTTAAATAGGCGTTGCAACATCTGAACCCTGCTACTCAGAGTCCTTCGTGCACAGTATTCATAACCGTAACGCATCTCCGTTCCACAGCTCTGCAGTGTCGACATTCTGAGTAATATTGTTATTAAACTGTGAACAGCGACGTGCAGGAAGCACTCTTCTAACTGTTTTTAGTTCCTTCCCTCTTACTTTTCATTTGAAAAGCAAAACATTAGATTAGCTTTCATTGCAAACAAAAAAACTTCAACTTCGAGATTATAGTTAATGTATTATATGTAAACGGATGACTATTAATGTAACTAAATTATATTAAAGGCAATAAAGTCAACTTTGCAGTGGTGTGTATGACTTTTTTTTATTTAGATGTTTCATGTTAATTAATGTTTCATTACATCACAGATTAAAACTAACTGGATTTGCTCCGAGGGGAAAGCTCCACCTGCCAAACGTGCAGCCAACGTGGAAATGATAGAAACTGCAGTTCCCCCCTCAGCCACTAGGGGCTGGCTCCAGGAAGGGGCAAGTTCCCATTGACTCCCACGGTAAAAACCCAACTTCACAGCAGAAATAAACATGTTTACAGCCTGGTTAATGACACATTTTAGGTTTAATAGGTCAAGTTCAGAGTCATGACAACTCTAAGGGGGTGGAATTTTTTCCATTTAGATGAAATTAAAGCTTGAAATTATAATTACGGGCGTGTCCTTTTGATTGACAGGTAGCAGAGGAGCCATCAGCGCTAGCAGCTTGAGAAAATAGTATTTAGAGCAACCCAGAAGGTAGTTAAGAGGAAAATGTTTAATTAGAGAAATGGTGACCGCTGGTTTGTGTGGTATGTAGGCGGCAAAATGTCCGTTTGTGATGAAATCTTTGAAACAAAAGACAAAAACCAGTTTGAGCGTTATTGCGTTAGAAATACAGGCCTGGCTCTCCTAAAGACGAGTATTACTCATCTCTGCATCAACGTAGAACTCGGTTGATAACATTTTTTCAACGATGAGAACGGGAGAAGGGGCTCCCGGATGCCCCTCTGGGACAGACCAGCTGTCTGTGGAGGACTCTGAAGATGTGTGGATATTCGTGGGGTTGGTGTCGGGTTTCCTGCCGATTGGCCTTAGAGGCTTCCTGGCTTACCGGAAAATTAACGAACTGTCGAGGAATATTGGCATGATCCCGGAGCTCAGAGATGGTTTGCACCGCGCTGCGAATTCACAGACTCACATAATTGTGGAGATGAATCGTAAGCTTGGAACTTTGGCGGAGATTCATTCATTGGCACAGAAGATGGATGCCATCAAGGATAGAGTGGACGAATCAGCATGGATTGGGATAGATTAACGTCCATTATTGGGATTTTGAGAGGTTGAGGACAGCAAACTGTAAGACAGAGAGGAAATGATCTCTGTCTGGCTCCAAAACAATTTCTAATTGGGATCTGGCGCCCTTGAGCCTGCAAGGCTACAACGAAAACTCCCCCCTCAGAAGATATGTGGAATGTGCCGTCGCTATGGCAACTCAACTGTGTCTCCTATCCCAGCCTGGGCGGGACTGCGGGAAGGCCGCTGAAACGTTCCAGGGTCACTGCAACCCTCCGACCCTCAATGCTCCTCCCCCTATCCACACTGAGGTGACATGCGCTGCTTCTATCGTGGCTGCAGGAACTGAAGTGGGGATAGTCCCAACCCACCACCCCACCTAGTGGACACTTATGTTGTGTTGTCTGAAGTCTGTTGCATTTCTGTCTGAGGTGTTTTTTTTGCAGAGCAAAGCTGCCCTCCTGGTGGAGGTAGCTCTGAAGTGCCTTTTTTCCCTCCACCTGAACCAATCCTCATGTAACCCTCTTATCTCTATTAAGGTAGCACGACTCAGAGTTGCGAATGACCACAGTCACCAATTCTTGTCATGTCTCTTGCCCATGTATGTCTGATCTCTGAATTGTGTGTACTGAAACTCTAATTTCCCTCTGGGATTAATAAAGTAACTTTGATTTGATTGATATACAGAAACATTTACATTAAAGTCCCTAAGGCCCACCACCTACTGTCCTTACAGTGTAAATGAAGATCTTTGATGGATTCCTGTTTTTTTGGTCAAATCTTTAAGACCATTTAGCGTTGGACCTCCGTGGCATCAATCACGGAGTTTGTGTTTGACTCTTAGGTCCTAACACAACCAATTAAAGCTCAATGTGTGTAAAATGCATCAAATTTGACAAAAAGGGCCTCTTTGAACCTGAGGTGAGATTAACTAAAGTAAATATCTGTGTAGATTTTTAAAAGCACCGTTCTGATCCGAGCCAATACAGTACGGAGTAGGAACATCAGCACTCGAGGCCTTTGGAGCTTCTGTGAATGAACTAAAGCAGCTGAGCAAAATTTCCTGCAACCTAGAAATGTGCTTTTAAGATAAATGTAGCTTAATTCGACAAGACAAACTGTAATTTACACCCATGTTCCTTTGAAAATATCGGATGCATCCAGAAACTAAAAAAAACACCCAGAAAATAAAACACATTCCCAACTCAGAGTGGAATAAAGAATATGAAGAATGCAGCTGCAGAGCCAAGCAAGTCGTCACAGAACCACAAACCTTGATCAGATTACGTTCATATTAACCAAAGGTAATTAGAGGGGGCGAGATAACCCCGGCCTGTCCAAGCGTAAACGACAGCAACAGGAAATGCCTCCAAAGTAGTGTTAACTTCATTTGTTCATTTGCAGTGCCAGCCTGGGTCAAACGATTGCAGCTAAACTCTACAGAAGCTGAACTGGAGGCATGCTTTTGATTAATTTCATGTTGTGAAAATCAGGAATTCTCTGCACCATTTTCACCAACGACAGCCATCCGTGTCACGCGTAAGAGAGCGGAGAGCAAGCTAATGCATCTGAGTGAAAAGAAGAGCAAATCTGACCTGTTTGGGTGCCTGTTGTTCAGTTCAGGGAGGAAAGAGACGCTCGAAACTTAATAGAGGGGCAGAGTGCTGATGGGAGAGTTAGTGAAAGGGAAAAGAGGAGGGAGGGAGGTCCATAAGAGTTATGGAAAGTGAGTGTAGAGGGGGTGGGGGCTGCAGTCTGGTTGGTTGTTGATGATTAAATGTTTTGCTGCTGCTGGGTTTACTCCCCCCCCCCCCCCCCCCCCCCCCCCCACCACCACCACCACCATACTTTAGCTTGCAACTTTTATTGGGTCTCAGCTGCAGCTCGCTCATTCTTCATACGTTAGAAATGTATAATCGTTGAGGAAAGGTGCTGCAGGGTGGTCTGTCGCCATGATGAAGGTCCTGTCAGCGTGGTTAAAAACAAGTCTGTGTGCGTGGGTGTGTGTGTGTGTGTGTGTGTGTGTGTGTGTGTGTGTCTATTTTAGACAGCCACCTGTTAATGACATTAAGTAAGGGTAAAGGGAGGAGCTTGTGTTTATATGAGAGGGGCCAGGATAGCATTTTAGAGCAACACAATACACTGTGAGGAGATATCTGACATGGAGACGGAGTAAAGAGACCAGGGTGACGTTTTTCAAAAGAAGATGAAAATGGGATTCAAATGTTAAAGGAAAGTCTGAGTGACTGATTCAGAGAGGAAAATGAGAATGCATGCTTGTCTTTTTCTAAATGTCGTAGCTGAACCAAGTCCAGGGAGACTTCAGAGACCGGGCCCGGTCTTGTGGAACGCTTTCCCTGGTTCTGTTTGGCTGTTCCACAGTCTGGGTTACATACGTGGCGCAGCGAGAGAGAGCTGGGGGATGGGGGTGGGGTCGGGACGAGCGAGTCGAGGACAGGGACATAGAACAGGACGCCATCACAAGCTGTAGGCTGTGACAGGAAAACCAACACCTGCTCATTTTTCCTCCAGGTTACAACAAATCTCTGCTGAGCACATGACACCTGTAACTACCTCATTAACGGGACGACAGCGTTCCGTTTTAATGGATATTTTTGCGTTTCTTTGAAAGACGTCCCTAAATTGACTGACTGCTCCTCCATCATATGAGATGGATGGGCAGCGTCCACAGACAGGCAGGGGCCATCGATAACCTACAGCATGCTGACGTGAACACTGCTGTCTCTGTCGTAGCTCAGATTTATCCCTGTTCTCATGCAGGATTTCCACCGGAAAAGGGTGGCTTGCCAACTCCGGGTCGGGAGAGAGGTCCTACCTCAAGTGGAGGAGTAAGTATCTCGGGGTCTTGTTCACGAGTGAGGGTAGGAGGGATCGGGAGATCGACAGGCGGATTGGTTCGGCGTCTGCAGTGATGCGGGCGCTGAGCCGATCTGTCGTGGTGAAGAGGGAGCTGAGCCAGAAAGTCAGGCTCTCGATTTACCGGTCCATCTACGTCCCAATCCTCACCTATGGTCATGAGCTTTGGGTAATGACCGAAAGAACGAGATCGCGGATACAAGCGGCCCAAATGAGTTTCCTCCGTAGGGTGGCAGGGCTCAGCCTTAGAGATAGGGCGAGGAGCTCGGACATTCGGGAGGGACTCGGAGTAGAACCGCTGCTTCTGTGGATCAAAAGGAGCCAGTTGAGGTGGTTTGGGCATCTGGTCAGGATGCCTCCTGGACGCCTCCCCGGGGAGGTGTTTCGGGCATGTTCTGCCGGCAGGAGGCCCTCGGGTCGACCCAGGACACGTTGGAGAGGTTACATCTCCAATCTGGTCCGGGAACGCCTTGGGGTCCTGCCGGAGGAGCTGGTGGAGGTGGCCGGGGAGAGGACGGTCTGGAGCTGCCTGGTTGGGATGCTGCCCCCGCGACCCAGACCCGGATAAGCGGAGGAAGCCGACGACGATTTCCACCTTCTGAGGATGGCTTGCAAGTGGAGCATTTAAACAAATACTAATCGTCTGTTCCTTTATGTTGAATTTGACATATTTTTCTGAAACTTTCCCCACTTAAATAAACTTCTTATTTATTCCGCCTTTCCCGGGATCCACTGATTTCCCTCTTTTCTGTTCATTTTCTCTCTTCCTTTCCTTACATGTTTTTTTAACACAATGTAAATTTATTTCTCCTTTTAAAATTTTTTGAATAATCATTTTAAATTTTTTTCATACTTTTGTTTTTGGTGAAGCGCCTCGGGATTTTTATCTTCAGAGGCTCAAGGTCATGCATCTGCTTCTAAACTGTTCACGTTCCAGCAAAAGAAGGAAGAAGATAAAAGACTTTTTTCTTTTATTAAATCAAAGAACTCTATTTTTAATAAAGCCAATCAAAAGAACTGTTAGTCAATAACACAATGTGACCGATCTGTGAAATCACAATGTTATGATTAATATGCTTTAATAAGTAAATGACTTAATCTAGTTCGCTAGACACACTGACACACGTAAGGTAAACAATCACGACACATTGCTGTTGCTGATCCAATCAGGAGCTTCCTTTCTGAAGCGTGGCATAGTCTCTGTGGTGTTTATAAATCTGTCAGCTTTGATTCGACCAGAATTCAAAACATCCAGATTAATAAAACCAGTTCCCACGCCATCTTAGATCAGTTCTCAAGATCTCACTGAGTTCACCGCATGATAAGCGGAATAATCGGACCGGCCATCCGGACTTCCCTTTTTAAGCTGAGAACCAACAAGCTGGAAAAATCTGTTGCATTTTACCAACCAAGCAACGGTTCCTTTCAGAATAAAAGCTGAACTCGCTGACCCAAGGAGGGTCCCCTTTTTGACGCTGTGAACCACCTGTCGCTTTTTACCTGGAGACAATCCAAGGACTAGTTTGTCGTGCTGTGACGCTGTACTACTGGCTCCAGTACCGAGAGGAGGGTCCGTGGACCTGACATTCTGGATCCGTGAAGGAGGTCTCACTGAGGGTATGTGTGGATGCGACAAATATGGCGTCTCATGTGTTTATGGCTACTCCGGTAAAACTCTGATCGTAGTTAGGAGCAAAACATCATCTCCCACTCAGACTTGCCTCTCCGGATACGAGAGTTCTGATAATAACACTCACACACACACACACCATCTCACATCTCATTCAAACAGAACATCCATCATTAGTAGAGTTAGTCTTGTTTAAATTGTTTAAAATTATTTAGTAATAAATCATCTTGAACGTTTGAAGGACTCTCTCTCTTCTCTTGTCTCTCAGTTAATACAAAATGTTGTCTAATCCCTGCATTAAAAAGTTCCAATCTTCTGGTTAAACAACCCAGTGGTCCGTAAGATTGACCCCACACTCGATCCGGGATCTTAATGTCTCACGGTCCTTAAATTAGATGTAAGTTAACTTCATTACAGTTTTAAATTAAGGTTGACTTAAACTCCTGCACTAACTTTGTACTGTCATGTCTTGCTGCGGTATTTTCTAAGTTTTGCTATTTTAATAAAGTTCAGCCCTTTGGTTAGCTTTTGTTGTTAGCAATTTGTATTTTAGGGTTAGGGTTTATTAGAGCTGCAGCCAACTCCACCTCAGACGCCATCTTCGTTATTTATGAGTAACTGAGCCTCGCAGTGTGCAGTACGCTGCTCAGCGCTGATTGGCTTGGTTAGATGTGTCAGGGGGTGGGGTTATATGGGGCTGGCTGGCCAGGCTAACTGATTTATGCGCATACAAATCCTCCATTCTGGTACTTTATTAATAAACTCGAGCTTTTCGACCGTTTAACCACAACACGCACAAAAAAAAAGATTAAAAAAGCACAAAAAACTAGATTTGATAGGGAAACATGACTTTTGACTTTCTGCTTGAACATCGCTAAAACAAGACAAGGCGAGTGAGGAAGTAAATACGGTTTATTTGATCCAAATTCATTATTTTTGGGGAATTTTACTGCGGCCGCAGCCACTGGCGGCGCATCAGTTCCTGCAGCTTCAAAAGAAATGTACAACAGGCAAAATGTTTGTTTATTCATTTAGCAGACGCTTTTATCCAAAGCGACTTACAACTTATAACCTATAGGGCGTGTTGTGATCTGTGGGGGAAACCGGAGTACCCGGAGGAAACCCACGCATGCATGGGGAGAACACGCAACTCCACGCAGAAAGGCCGCAGCCGAGTTTCAAACCTGCAACCTTTGTGCTGCGAGGCAACAGTGCTAACCCCTGCACCACCATGCAGCCCATAGCTTATTCCAAATCTTTCACTGAACGCAACTTACTATTACTTTAATTTTTATTACAATTCTCCTTACTGGCCTCAAGTCTCCTGTGATTAAAGGCCCGGGATCAGGGGTGGGCAATCTCTGCCCACGAGGGCCGGTGTCCCTGCAGGTTTTAGATCTCACCTTGGGTCAACATACCTGAATCACACGATTAGTTCGTTACCGGGCCTTTGGAGAACTTCAGGACATGTTGAGGAGCTAATTTAGCAATTTAAATCAGCTGTGTTGGTTCGAGGACACATCTAAAACCTGCAGGGACACTGGCCCTCGTGGAGTGAGATTGCCCACCCCTGCCCTAGATGGTGTGATGAATGCGACGTCTATCTACCGCTTTAAAGTCCATTTGCCAGCGCGGAGCGGACCGTTTGACCCCTGAATGTAAATATAAACTGAGGATACACACAGAGATCATGTCCTCTTCCAGCTACTGCTGCTGCAGTGTTCTATCTTTTTGAATGAAGATCAATGGGGAGGCTTAGTCCAGAATATCTATGACTTTCCCCAGAGTTCATCATTCACCACTAGAGGGGGGTAATGTTCCAGCTATCCTCGCTGCAGCATCAGGGCAGGGAGGGCTGCTAACGGCTCTCATGATGGACACAGGAGGTCTTTCAGATCGTCAGGGTCAGTTTTACACATGCTCTTCGGAGAATACGGTTTCTGCTGCATGAAAAAAGCACCGATACTTCAGCTCTGTCCTCGGGGAATGACAGGGCAGTGAGAGTGTTGCATCACAGCCGCTGCTGCTGGGTTTAGTGCAGTGGAGTGCAGCCATGCAGATGAAGATGGGTGATATAGAACTGACACAGGCCATTATTCCACGTCAGAGCATTTCTGCTTTACTCTTAACTGTTTTACATCAGCTGCCAGTTGAATAGGTCAGTGCAGTTTTTGTGGCTTTCATTAGGCTGACTAAGACTGCGTCCTTAAAGCTACAATCCGGAGTTTTCCCCCTTTCAGGAAACGTGTATGATTATTTTAGAAATCCGTAAAAGG